TTTTGTGTAAAAGTATTTACAAAATTTACAAGTAAAGGGGAAAAAAAATACCTACCTTTAAGCTAAATGAAGTGGCCAGTGACAGTATTTCAAAATATATAAAATATGAACTGAACTTAAATTGGATAAGAATGGCTTACCCTATTCACCTGGAACAGAGGGAGATAAAATAAGCTAGAAATACAGCTATAGGAGTTGGCATATGAAGATGACTTCTAAATTATTTTAAGTGGATGGAATTATTTGCATATTTGCTTAGTTTGAGAGTTTAAGGACCCAGGATGGAATTTTGGAGAGCCCTAAAACTTAAATAAAATGAGTAGAAGAGAAGAGGAAGAAACCAAATGGTAAACTAATCTAAATTATTTGGTGGAGATTTAAGAATGAGCTGAATATTGACTCAGCTGCTTAACATGTTCTCTGAACCAATTCCATTCAGTATGAACCAGTACCATTGTTTTACACTTCTTCACAGAGGAAGAAGTAGGGTTTCCTTGCTTTGTCATTCTTGTCTCTTTTCTCCCTGAAAGTCATTGCAAATGCCTCCCCTTCCCCCCAAAAATATATCAATGTGTCAACATGACAAAATGTGTCTCTTAGTTAACTATATACAAGAAACTCTAGAAACCAAGTTAAAAATATTAAGGAAAAAATAACATGTGCATAAGACTTGCTTAGAATTTATCAGACACTCTCTTGGTAAATTAAGTTTTAATCCATACTTCCATATTACTAATAATTTAAAGTTATGTATTATTTATTTTGTTTTCCTTCATCCAGAGCACATGATATATCCCCTCATATATAATAGGCATATGAAGACTACTTTTTGAAAGGAGAAGAAAGAGAGTAGCAAGAAAGAAAGAGAGAAAGGGAGAGAGGGATGAAAGTTTAGTCAAATTTTCAATAACTTGTTAAGTGCTTTAAATTTTAGGACTCAGAAATGTCCACTATTATTTGTCATTCTGAGATAACTTATGAATTTACTGAAATAAAAAAAATCAGTAAAATAAAAATAAGATGAATAAAACTAAAGAAGAATGAGAGGTAAATGTGTGACAAAAATAGTGTTTCTGGATACGAATTTTTCTACCTAGAAAGAAAGAGAAAAACTTTGCCTCAGTGAAAGAAAATACCACTGACATATTTATTTAAATAGAATGAAATTGGTATAGAAACATATGTGCATTAAAGTAGACTTGAGATTTTTTTTTGTCCATTCCATTAACCCCTTCAAGCTTATTAACCTGTGTTCCACAATGCATATAGACATACACAGATACACACATAGATGACAGAAATATGCAATTCTATTTAGACAAATTGTAATATCAATAAAAATAAGTTGTACAACTTTTAAGCAAATAGAATTAATGGAAAAATTTTCTCTATATTTATGTCTTCCTTTAAAGTAGAAGAGAGAGAAGAAATGGTAACCAACAGGGTGTTCATGAGGTCATTTCTGCAGACATAGATCATCAACACTGATGGTCCTGAGAAATTTGGGGCTTAAATCAAAGTGTACAAATCAAAGTCAGTACAAGAGAAGTGAATGAAGACCATATAATAGCAAATTGATTTAATGATCCATCACAAAAAACAAAGATCTGAAGACCGCATGTTCTCACTCATATGTGGAACCTGAACATTAATCACATTAGCACGAGGAAGGGATTGGCAGTCGGTGAGCACTGCCAGGAGAGAGAGGGAGGGAATAGGGGGAAGAGGGGGAACATAACACAAAGGGTACCTATTCCTGTACCAGGGAGAGTGAGGGCCAGTTGGAGGCCCAAACTTCACTTGCATGCAGCCTACTTGTGTAATTAATCCTTACATCTTGTATCTTTCATCTCTATTTAAAAAAAAACAAAAAAGCTCTGTTAGCTCAAGCTAGTCCTCAGGAATACTTGGGACTAAATCTTCAGCAAGCATTTATAAAACACCTGTTATGACTTAAACAAAAAATGGGCTTTAGATATTTGCAAATAGGAATATAAGAAAACTTAAAACACAACCTGCACACAATTTGCTTATGTAGAAAATGATCACATATGCCTCAATTGTAGAAATATCAATTTTTAAAAAATTTAGCAAAGAAAAAAAACACAACTCAACACGTAATGATTTTATTGCATTTAGCTCAGGAGGAAAAAGAAAACAGAGAATGAGAAGATTTCTGTAAAATTAGAAATAATTACAGGGATATTAGGTACCAATGAACCCAAGAGGGCTGACTTAAAATTTGCTGGGTCCCTCATGGTTTGGGCTTGTGACTAGGAAATCTCATTTCATGTTTGTAACTCCTCCTCTTTCTTCACATGTTTACTTAAGAACATTAAAATTGGTGACTGGCAGCTTGCTTCTCCAGTTTGAGCTCAGCAAATCTGTACTGTGTTCCACAGAATGCTACAGACCTTTCTGTAAGTTTTGGTGGAGAATAAGGATACAACATGGTTTCAGACAGATGTATAAAGGAAGAAGAGTGGCTGTATTATGGAGACTAAAGAAAAGTGTAAAAAGTGACTCCAAAGGTGTCCATAGTATCATATTAGTGGATATCCTGGCACAAAATATGTTAGCGTTTATGACATTAGGTGGGTATTGTCACACAGATGCACAGATAGAAAGTAGAGCCATTGCAGATCACAAAATTCCAGGGAATGAGGCTGGAATTCTTGGAGGAGAAGAATTGGTGAGTGGTGAGAGAAAATGATGTGAAGACCAGACAATCTTCTTCAGGCATCTGGTAAGAACAAAATCAGCTTCCAACAATCATTAGGGAGTAAATACCACGAATCCCAAATTTGTCTTCATAGTTTTATTACCAGCTTCTCAAATAATAGTCACTGCATCCAACTGGTCAGGAACTTGCATACTCTCCTACTTGTCATCCCGCTTTCTGTGCCTGTCAGTTAATGTTCACAGGTCCTCTTCTTAGTCTTGAATAGGTCAGACATTGTGATGACTCTTAAAGGATTCCTATTCTAATTGTGGTTATCTTTGGAGAATAAAAATTTTGCCCCTACTAGAGTCAGTCGCCTATGGATGGAGGTGTCAGAATTAAGAATTGGGGAAACTTGTGAAAATTACACTATTTTATTGACTGACTGGTTCACCCTAAATATATGACAGCTGATACAGCTTTCCTGTCATAAAATGTCCCCTGCTGACTTCATTATTTCACTTGAGGTTTAGCAGCATCAATCATATCTGCTTCTTGAATTTCTGTCATATTGGCGACATTGAATAATAATTGAATAATTTGTGAACTTGTTGAGATAAAACAACTTTATGGAAAAGACAGGGAAAGAATGAAATAACCTAACCCCATTTTCCACTGAATCATAAACATTTCTTTAGTATATACATAGCTTGAAAATGTCTTGAGTCAAAATATGTAATTTTTTAAAAGTGATGATTTTGATTAGAGAACTTTGAAATAAGGAATAACAGCCCAAGCTTTTAGAAAAGTCAGTGAAATTGAGAAATAATTAAATTTTCTTCAGTTTTTTGATAGCCTTCTCTGAACCATTTAAAAAAATATCCTCATGCTTGTCTAGTTCTGTATATGACTTATTTTAAAGAATCTCCCCCTTCCATCCCTCTATTTTCTATGAATTTGTTATTTCTGAACTCACAAATCTATACAAGTCTCTAATACTTCATTAGGAATTTATAAGCCTATTTTGGCTTCATCTCATACTAATGATAACTTTGAACATTTTAAAACTAGGATATTAACCTCTCTTTTGGCTAAGAGATCCGCTTTTTTCAGTATTCAGTATTTTATCAGGAGTGAGCCCTTTTGTCCCCTGTGTTGCTTCTGCCCATCCTTTGGTCTCCTTGTAGCTCTTCCTCTCTGGGTATTCTGTAAAAGGTATCATAGAATTTCAGCTATTTTATATTTTCTTCCCAGAATGTCCCTCAGTTTGGAATCTTTTGATATTAACTCATTATTAGAAAGCAGATTGTTCACTTTTACCAAGAATACCAAAGAAATCATATGGTGCCCTTCTTGGTGCGTTATAGCAGATAGCTTGAGATTAATTTAGCTCCATTATTAGTGATCTCAACTTTCATCACTCAGTGAAGGTGATGTCTACCATGTTTCTCCTCTGTTTACCATTTTTCTCTTTATAATTAATAAATGATCTGTGGTGCAATGAAAACAAAATTTTAGCTATTTTTACAACTCAACCAATTTTTTTAAGTGATCCTAAAGGTATCCACAGTATCATATTGGCAGATAGCTCAGCACCAAATATATTAGATTTCAACTGTTAAAAATCTGGGCAAAATAAGAGTTTTTTTTTACATTTAAAAAAATTTAAAGAATGACAAAGAACTCTGGCACAGACTAGTTAAAAGTATAATTTAAATTATCTTTTCTAAAGCACATCCTTCATATTCTTCTGATGATAAATACAAATATATTGTATTCTTAGGTATCAAACATTTCTATCACCACTTTGTTTCATAAGGAACATTTTACACTAACATAGTGATCAAATTCTGAGAAGTTGCTAGTCCAAATTTTCCCAAAGACAATTGGGAATAATAAAGTAGTCAATGAATAACTGAAATGGGGAATGTGGAGAGACACGATAAACTCTGATTAAAAAGCAATTTCCAAGCAAAATAAACAAGCCTATTTTTTTGTTGTCATTCACAGGTCTGGAAAAGAAATAACTGACAAGTCAGCTGTTTAATCCTTCACCCAGGTGTTTTTTTCTGGTCCTAGTGCAGGCAACCTGCCATGCACATAACATCTTATTTTGACACAGTGTTTGTGTATGCCCTCCCTAGACACAGTGATGTTCTCTGTGGATCTGTTTTTTTTTTTTCACTCCAATAATATTCTTGAGATGAATGATATAGTCTTAGAGTTCTACAAAATCAGACAGACTCCATATGAAGACTTAGAATAAAAACAAAATCAGAAGAACAGTAGCATTGACGGAGATACTTCTTTTGTTTGCATCAGAAGATCCAAGGACACTATGTTCATTTCCAACAGCACAGTCTACATGCCTTCTGTGCTGACACTCGTAGGGATCCCAGGCCTGGAATCTGTGCAGTGCTGGATTGGGATTCCATTCTGTGTAATGTATCTTATTGCTTTAATTGGAAATTCCTTGCTTCTGATCATCATCAAATCAGAGCGTAGTCTTCACGAGCCCATGTACATTTTCTTAGGCATGCTAGGAGTCACCGATATTGCACTTGCTACCAGCATTATGCCCAAGATGCTTGGAATCTTCTGGTTTTGTATGCCTGAAATCTATTTTAATTCCTGCTTATTTCAAATGTGGCTCATTCACACATTTCAGGGTATAGAGTCAGGCATCTTGATGGCCATGGCCCTGGACCGTTATGTGTCTATCTGCTACCCACTACGACATACCACCATCTTCACCCATCAGCTTGTCACCCAAATAGGAACTGTGGTTGTGCTCAGGGCTGCCATGCTTGTAGCCCCATGCCTAGGACTCATAAAGTGCCGGTTTCAATTTTATCACACAACAGTCATCTCCCACTCCTACTGTGAGCACATGGCTATTGTGAAACTAGCTGCTGCAAATGTCCAAATCAACAAAATCTACGGTTTGTTTGTGGCCTTCACTGTCGCAGGATTTGACCTCACATGCATCACATTGTCCTACATCCAGATATTTATCACTGTCTTTCATTTGCCCCAGAAGGAGGCCAGGTTCAAGGCATTCAATACCTGCATCCCTCATGTCTGCGTCTTCCTCCAGTTCTACCTCCTTGCCTTCTTCTCCTTCTTCACACATAGGTTTGGTTCCCACATACCACCTTATATCCACATCCTATTTTCTAGTATTTATTTACTGGTCCCTCCATTTTTCAATCCACTTGTCTATGGTTTAAAGACCAAGCAGATTCAGGTTCATGTGTTTAAAATGCTCTTTTCATAAAATCAATCTTAATAAGACTTTCATGCTTTCCTCTTTTGAAATAGTTGCCATATATCAAAACAAAACAACACAAAATATGCATTATTTGAGATGGTTGATTTTTCCATTTAATTGGTTTGTGAAATTTGTCAGTATGATAGCTGGTTTCAGATCATTGTAGTCCATGAAAGACATCATTTAATGATGGTTGTGAATTTTACCTTAGTAAAGAAAATGAGAAAAGTGAAAAGAGCCATACAATTAATATATAATGTTTCTTTTATGTTTTAGATCTTGGTTGAGTTCTTCCTCTAAGAACCAGTTTTACAGGTTCTCTTCTTTTTGCTTTTCTTGTAGGTTGATTATCATGTTTTTATACATCTCTCCCTTAAATGAAGTGAAAGATACTAAGGATAAAACTGAAGGATACTGCTTGGAGTAAGGTGACAAAAGTAGAATTCAGAAAATCAGAAAGTCTAGTTGGTTCAGTTGTTATTAATTTTACTCTCACACCAAAAAGTTAAGGTCCAGAGACTGGGAGAAATCAGTGATTCTTAGATTTGAAAGGACAAGCTGGGGATTATAATGTGATTTTAGTATGAAGATCTGTGTATAATAAGTCCACAGGTAGATGGTCCCTCTACATTACACTTCCCTATTGTCCTAAACCTGTCAAAATCTTGTTCAATAGACTTAAAAGATGTTCTACCTGAGGCCATGTCTCTGTTCCGTAGGATATTTGTGACTACTACTTGAAGAAGGGAGAAACTTCTAGAGCTATGAATAAAGACTTCTAGATGAGAGAAATAAAATGATGTCAGTTTTCTAGAAAGATTCTTGAAGAAATTTTAATGAATTTAGCCAAGAACGCCTATGCAGTGGAAGTTGATGTCCTAAAGCTTTTCTGCTGAAAGTGTGGTTTCTGGTCCTGCAGTCTCAGCACCATGTGAGTGAACATAGGAAATGCAGCTTCTCAGGCTCCTCTCTAGTTCTACTGAATCAGAATTTGTGTTTAGTTTTCCCAATGCTTGTAATGTTCTCTTTTTTGGGCTGAGAGCTTGATAAAATTTTTGTTAATTTTGTGTAAATTTATCAAGCTGTATTGTGATATTTTGTACTTAATTTAATAATAAAATACAATTTTAAGGAGTATGAGTAAAAGTGTCAATTTCCACATAAACTGGCACATCGAATACATGTGTTTATTTCTGCTACATTTTAGACTCTACTAAAACTACAGGTGTACAAACAGACATTGTGAGAGGAAATAATAGTGGTGTACTTTATAATTACATTATAAATATGTTTACAAAAAGATATTAAGATGATATTTTAAAAAACAAGGTGGAATAATCTGAAATCTATATGCCTACAGAGAGGATACCAATGAGAAGAAATATTATCTGTACAGAACATTTTTCTGGTAAGCACAGGAGTTACTTATAAGGGATTTAGAGAGATGAGGATGAAATGGTAGAAAAAGATTAAAGTAGCCAGGCCCACTCTTGGCTGGTTCTGGCAAAACAGATGGTGCCTGTACAAACCAAATCAAGGATGAGTCAGGCATTGGAACATTATATACAAAGGAGTGAGGCATAATGCATGAAATAGAGAGATCTTAAGATCTTAAGTAAAAGAATACATATTGAATACTGAGGCCCATGGAACAAGTTCCCCCATTCATCCATTAAAATGCTGATAACCAGACTTATATTCAATAGTTAGGTGATAATACAATTATTTTTTGTAAAAACTTATTCAAAAGAAAAGACTAACAACTATTAGCATTAGTATTCATCCACTGGTCTGGCTGAGCCCCTTTCTGATCAGCCTCTAGAGTAATTGGTCAGACAAAAAAATCACACCATGTTCATAGAAATCCCTACCAAATTCTTAAAGTCTCACCTTAAAATATGAATGGACAAAGATTTTCAGGAATGTGATTAACTCTATCAACACAAGCATTACATGCTCAGAACACATTTTAATAAACAGAATTTACTTGGGGGAACAAAGCTTATTCAGGGCAGAGAATAAAACTCAAAAAGAAAGCAAGTCCATAATTAATATTCTCAATAATATAATCTCGCATTATAGATACTTGATATAAGAACAGGGTAGTATTAATAACAATAGTTAGAGAACATGACAAATATTTATAAATTAAAAATTCAAGAGATGAAATAAAAGCCAATAGAAGAGTTGAGAGATAAAATTAATAAAATACACAAAAGCACAACAAATAAATAGAGGGGACTCGGAAGAATAAACCGGGGCCAATCCAGGAACATCAACAGCTTACTTATAGGAGTTCCGGAAAGAGAGCAAATAGAACACATAGGCACCAAGTACCCAGGACAAAAAAGAAAATCAAGTTAAGTTTCACAATAAATAAAGATAATGAAAAGATAAGCCATGAACTGAGAACATATTTGTAAAATGTATTCTGATAAAGGATTTTTATACAAAATATATAAAGAATTTATAAAATTTATCTATTTGTTTATTTTATTTATTTATTTATTTATTTTTTTGAGTTGGAGTCTCACTCGGTCGCCCAGACTGGAATGCAGTGGCCGCTCCCGGCCACGGCAGCCTCGACCTACTGGGCTCCGGCGATCCTTCCCCTTCAGCCTTCCGAGTAGCCAGAATTACAGGCGCACACTGCCGCGCTGCTGCTGATTTTTGATTTATTGTAGAGATGAGGTCTCGCCTGCCCAGGCGGGTCTCGAACCCGCGGGCTCAGGCAATCCACTCACCTCAGCCTCCCAAAGGCGCGGGATTACAGGCTGAGCCACCGAGCACGGCTGAATTTATAAAATTTAACAGTACAAAACAACTTAATTCAAAACGTGGCAAAAAATCTGACAGACATTTTACCAAAGAAGATATGCAGACTGCAGTAAGCATGTGAAAAGTTGCTTAATATCATGTCATTAAGAATTTGCAAGTCAAAACAACAAGACAACAATTACTACACCCCCATTAGAATTGCTAAAATCCCAAACTGACATTTTAAAAAGCTGACAAGGATGCAACAGGCATTTTTATTTATTGCTAATACAAATGAAAAATAACACAGCCAATTTGGACGACCGTTTTGCAGTTTTTTACAAAATTAAATACAGTTTTATCTTATCACCCAGCAGTCACTCTCCTAGATATTTACCCAAATGAATTGAAAATTGATTTACACACAAAGATATATGCACAAATAGTTTACAGAATCTTTATTCATAATTGCCAAAAGTTGGAAGCAACCAAGATACATGGGTAAACTGACTGTGATACATCCATAGGATAGAATATTATTCAATGAAAAATAGAGCTATCAAGCTGCAAAAAGGCAGAGAGAAACTGTAACTGCATACTGCTTGATACATTTTATTTAAGTATGCTCATAATCATCCACCATTTACTCTGTTAACCTATTTTATTTGACTATTGAAAAATAATCATCTCTATATTATATCTTTCTCTCTTCATCATTATTTCTCAATCAAATATGAATATTTAAGAATAGACAAAAAGTGAATAAACTATGGTACATCCATTCATTTAGTATTAGGCAGCTGTGACAAATAAAGAAATTGATTAATATTGAATGAACTGGAGAATATTCATGATTTATTAAGTTAAAGATAATTGAGATGCTAAATGAAACATTTGGTGTCTTCTCATTGAGATAATACAAACTCAGATAAAGATTTCCTGTCTCTTTGAGCATAAAGAGAAGTGAAATTATTCACTCCCATTTTGATTACTTTGAATATTATAGAAAGGAAGGAGAGATTATTAACGCTTGTATTACAAACCTTTTATTGTTTAACTTGTTATATGAATGCATTATTCTTACAATTCAAAAATCTAATAAAATAACTAAAATGTAAACAAACACAACAAAACAAAGGATTAAAGTCTGTTTGTTTTTTGTTTGTTTGTTTGTTTGAGTTGGAGTCTCACTCTGTCGCCCAGAGTGGAGTGCAGTGGCGGCTCCCGACCACCGCAGCCTCGACCTGCTGGTCTCCGGCGATCCTTCTGTCTCAGCCTTCCAAGTAGCCGAAATTACAGGCATGAGTTACCATGCCCGGCTGATTTTTTGATTTATTGTAGATATGAGGTCTCACTGCCCAGGCGGGTCTCGAACCCACGGGTTCAGGCAATCCACTCACCTCAGCCTCCCAAAGGCGTGGGATTATAGGCTGAGCCACCGAGCCCGGCTAGTCTGTTTGTTTTAATACAAGCAGTTACATGGACCTCTATGCAAGTTAGTCTCTGCACAACACATATATTAGAAAGTGGCCAAACTGCAACAAACCTTTGATAAATCTTGATATATCCTTCTTCAAAACATGGTACCTAATAACCTTTCATAAGCCAAACTAAGAGATACTACATAAGTGATTCTGCCCAGAAAGATCCCCTACATAATAAATCACCAACTCCACCTGGGAAGAATAGTCACTGCCGCTACAGCTGTTCTTCATTGTGGCAAGACAAACTATTTTGAGAAAACTGAAAGGTTGCAGAAATATGGTTTCCAACCACCGAGAAACTGCAGCCCCAAAGCAAACATAAAAAAATGAATAGTTCTGCTCTCTTTCCTGGAACTAATTCTCGACTGCATTGTCTCACAAATGGGAAGAAAGCAGAGATTCAATTATGTCAAAATTACTTACTCAAATTAAGGACTACCTGGTTCTTCTCTCTTGAAATATCCCTACTTAGTTTCTGTAATAAGATGAAGGCTTTCGTTTCATTTCCTCTCTTTCACTTTTTTGGATTAAGTGCTAGCATTCAGGACTCTATTTTGCCTATAAAACAATTATCTAAGGTCAGTACAAATATGAATTGTCATGAAGATACTTATAATTTTATTTATCCTCCATAGTTAAATATTTGTACATTCCCTACAAAAATATCTATCTTTAAGATTATGAGGGCCTCACTAAGACTCCAGTAATTTTGTCACTTGATATCAAGATCAAGAATATAATCATGAAACTTTTCTAACATTTGGCAAATTACTTTTCTAAAACATATGGGCCAAGAATTTCAGATAATAAACTGTAGAACTGTGTAAGGGAGACTAAATATATTGAATGCCATGAATAATAATTATTCCATCTGCATAGGACATTATCGGAAGTGTATTTTACTTTTTAATTGTTTTTTTATTTTTTACATTTTTTGTAAAACGGGGTCTCACTATGTTGCCCAGGCTGTTCTCAAATTCCTGGTCTCAAGCAGTTCTCCCACTTCAGTCTCCCAAAGTGCTAGGATCACAGATATGCCACTACTTCTGGCCTGTAGGTATGTTTTAAAGTAGTAACAGGTTTGATTACTACTCTCTTCCTTATTATATGTACCTGAAATCATTACCCAAACCCAAATCATTATTAATAAAGGGACGCATGACTCTAATACTTTATAGTCCCCAAGTTTTCAAATTACCAGAATAAGTTATTAGACGAGTATACCATGCATACTACTCTTTGTTTTTCTGGTCATTACCAGACAGTCAGACACAGACACCAATTTCAACTGTCATCTAAATCTTTACTGTCTTTTCTCACTTTTTTTCTCCTCCAATATATTTTGGTTCTTTTAAATTTTTTTCAAGGACACATGAGAAGATAGCTATTGTTCTTGTTATCCAAGACATCAAGAAGAAACTATCCAATTAACTATCATTTATAGTTTTGAGACTATTGAATGTAACACATCTGAAACACATGGAACACTTAGTCTCGGAACACTGAGTCTCTCTTGCCATATCGATCTTACACTTATGTGATAAGATATGGCCTCTCTCACTCAGAGATCATAAGGATGTCTAGATGACTGGAGAATTGGGGCATTTGCCTATGAATTTATCATCAATGAAGTTCAGCTGATGGTCACACATCATACTTAAAAACATTTTACTAAAATTGGTGAAAAAATGTTTACAAGGAGTTATTGAAAATATTAGAAAATTATGGATATTTGGAAGATTTTACTGAAGGGAAGTTAATGAGAACACATCTTCCTCCATAATTTATTTCATCTGCAAGGAGTCAGTTTTTAATTCTATGAACGTCACGGAATTTGTCTTTTTTTTCCCCACTATATTAAAGTGTCCGCCAAAAGAGCAAAATTTCTATAGCAGCTCATGACAGTTTTTTGACCATTCTGATGCTGACCCATTCTATCATGTGACCAGTGAAAAAGAAGAGAAGCCAAGGGGTCTTAAAAGTTCAAAATAAATATGATGAGAGACTCTATTTTTAAAATGCCTTCTAAGAAACATACAATCCCTCTCCCACACGTAGCGATGACAACCTATTTTTGGAGATGACTCTAGGGGAACAGAACACGGCTGCAGTAGCATGAGACTCTGGCATGCAAAAATGACCCGGTTATGTATCTATATGTGTTAACTTGGGAATGTGAAAATGCTAGCCAAAGAAAAAGTTGTACAAATTGTAGAGGAAGAGAATGCAGAGATGCTTCTTCCTGTGGACTATGTGCCAGAATCAGCTCTGGGCAAGCTCCTTCGGCAGTAGTAAAATTCAGTCCTTTTGGGCTGAAAATCTCAGGCCCAAGAGACCCCTTGAAAGAGGTATAAATAAATAGTTTCAGATTTTCTATCTATGTTTTGGACAACTTCTTGCCTTTACCTTTTCTCCTCTCAAATTTTTAAAATATTTAGGCGCCTAGAAAACACAAGTAAGTAAATTCTGCCATCTTCAATGAAGGCATGTAGAAAATTACACCAGAAAAAAATTAAAAAGTCAGGAAACTGCAGAAGGTTCTCATTCTTCTGAGTATTTAATCATCTCTCATTTTCCTCAGTCTCGACCCATAGGGTACTGGACTTCACTTTAGCTGAAGTTGATGTGAAATTATATCTTTTTGTGTTCTTTTATAAAATGGATCATCTGCAAAAATACATGTTGACATATACTAAGCAGTTATTAAATAATAACTACCAATTTTTGATGCAAAAATTAATACTTCAGTAGAAGGAGTAAAGTTTTAGTCTAATCATTTTACTGTCCTTTCACAAAGAAGAAATATTGGAAAGAAAATCTTTTCTTTTGCCTCTCATGCTTTGAATGTTGCCTCTACAAACCTATTGTTGAATCAGAATTTCTGAAGATTTACCCATATGTTCTCTTCTAAAAGTTTTGTGGTTTTAGTTCTTATATTTAAGTCATTGCTCAATGTTTAAACATGCTGGATTTTCATCCTTGTTTAAAAGAATAAACATAAAAATTATAACAATTTAAAAGCATAACTTGACTAATTAGATATGGACTTATACATAAAAAACAAAAGTAGACACAGATCAAAGAGCAGGCTATAAAATAAAGAAATAGATCCATATTAATGTGATAATTTAAAGTACAATAGCTGTATTCTTTCAAAATGGTTGAGAAAAGACTAGACCACAATTTGGTACATAGAATTGAAAAACATTATGCTTACATTTTAGAATGATTAAGTAAAACCCATAATCGCCGGGTTTGGTGGCTCAGCCTGTAATCCCACGCCTTTGGGAGGCTGAGGTGAGTGGATTGCCTGAGCCCGCGGCTTCGAGACGCGTCTGGGCAGCGAGACAATAAATCAAAAAATCAGCCGGGGCGTGGTAGCGCATGTCTGTAATTCCGGCTACTTGGAAGGCTGAGGCGGAAGGATCGCCGGAGCCCAGCAGGTCGAGGCTGCAGTGGCCGGAAGCGGCCACTGCACTCCAGTCTGGGCGACAGAGTGAGACTCCAACTCAAAAAAACAAACAAACAAACCAAAAAACCCATAATCACCAAATCCTCAAGACAAATACAAATGTCATGTGGAATCAAGTGTTTTTCTCTCTATCTCTGTCTTTTTTCTGCTTTCTTTTATTATTACTACCTCTATTTATCACTGTTGCTGTCTCTGCAACTCTATCACTATTTATACCCTCTCTATCTCTGTCTGTAGTTCTATCTGTAGCTCCAACTATGTATTTATTTTTCAGTTGGTGTATGAAATACCTTCTTAAGAATAAAAAGTGTTATAAAGAAAACTATGCTAAATTAAATACATAAAAGTTATGTATAACATAATTTTATATGAAAAAATTAATAAAGTTGAAAGACAAGAGGGAGGGAAATATATGCAAAATATCAGCAATATGTGTTATATTTAAATTGTAATGAATGGTTTATATAATTAATAATGTGTTGTTTTTGTAGTTTTCATTGGTGTGTATATTCTTATGTATATTCCTTTTCATGCTTATCAATGGGAATCATTCCCTCCTCTATAATATACCTGAAGGTTTTCAGGATTTTTTTTTTTTGTTGTTGTTAATTGCTCCTGGAGGAATTCTGTTTCCTCCTGACTCTCTGTCAGCCAAGCACATATAAGGGAAGATAGCAACTATGTGCATAGATCAGTTGGAAGTAAACATAACAAATGAGATGCATGGATTGATTTGCTGACTCTCATTTCCACCGGTAAGTATCTGAACTTTAGAATTTGCTATAGTTATAACTAATAGTACACTGGTGCTGGCCTGCACCAGCTTGAGAAAGCTGATTAATGCAGCACTCAGCTATGCATTAAGTGATGTCACATTGATAGTTTGAAATTGGTTACAGTAGAAATATCTAAATCGTAGAAATTGGCAGCTGATTCAAATCAAGGCATTTGTATTTGGAGAGCTGATTGTTAAAAATTGATTACATTTCATGGATTATCTCTAACCAAGAGCTCTGGCCCAACAAGAAAGGAAGCTGTTGCATTTAGTCATCATCTCCATCCATGAGCCCTATCCTGAATTCCATCTTTAGCACCCCTAATCTTAACACCTAAATCTCTACTACAGATGAGTTAAATGTTAGTGTTAATAAACTTAGTTCTCAGATAAAAACCCCTAACCCTGCATCCCAGCCTCAACATCACACATGGCTTGTGAGATACTGATGACTCTGGTTTTGCTCCGTGTCCTGACTCCAGGGTCCAGGAGAGGACTCTGATTCTCCTGAAAAATACAGTGTAGTTTTCCCAATCTTCCATGGAGAGCAGGTGGAGAAAGAGCAAACTGGTGAGTTTAAAAAAAAAATTGGAAAATGCTCTATGCTGGAAAAACTAACCTTGTGTTCTAATATATTAAATTGCTATTTTATCTTATGTGTTGAATATTTACTAGGTTCCAAATATTCTAATAAACAATATATGTATATTATTTTATATCACTATCATTGTGTTTATATCAAATACCTGGGTCTCAGATAACTTATGTGCCCCCACCTAAGATCACAAGTTCATTAAGTGTTGGAACCATGAATGCTCTCTATTAGTATTATATTACTTTTGATGCTCATTTACTCCCTTTGCAATTCACAAGTCACAGGTCACTTTGGACCTATTTCCATATGAATCTGTCATATCTATGCTTATTTTCACTTTCTTTCACTGCCATAAATGTCCTAGCTTGAGATTTTTGTTAATACCTTCTCTGTCTGGCACGTAGCTCATGTTGAAACACATTCTGCATGTCTAATTAGTTTTCTCTTCCATTCACTGTGGATTGCATGTGCTTTTGCTTTGAAAAATAAATTTTTCATTCTTTTTAAAAGGAAATGTCTTAAATATCACTCAAAGCTCAAAATTTGATGTGCAATAACCTCTCTGAAATTTATATATTCCAGTCTCCATATGCTTCCCAATATGTTCAGATGAAGTCTCGCCACGATGTTTTCAATGGTTCCACAGAGTTTACACCTGCAGCATTTACTCTTGTTGGCATCCCAGGATTGGAGGCAGAACATTTGTGGATCTCCATCCTTTTCTGTTTGATGTACAGCATCATCTTCTTGGGAAATGGCATTATTCTTCACGTCATCCGGATTGACCTTGCCTTGCACCAACCCATGTACTACTTTCTGGCCATGCTGGCCTTTGTTGAGCTTGGTGTCTCTGCTTCAACCATGCCCACAGTGCTAGGCATCTTTCTCTTTGGCATTAATGATATTAGTTTTGGTAGCTGCCTGCTCCAGATGTTTTCTATGCACTCGTTTACACTCATGGAGTCAGGTGTCCTTTTAGCAATGTCTGTGGACCGCTTTGTGGCCATCTACAGTCCACTGCACTACACAACCATCCTGACAATTCCCCGCATCACTGCAATGGGTGTTGCCATTGCTTTGCGCAGTGTGATGCTCATGCTCCCACTGCTCTTTCTCCTGAAACGTTTGCCCTTCTGTGGCCACAATAGCCTCACACACTCGTTTTGTCTCCATTCAGATCTGATCAAATTGCCTTGTGGAGACACACGTCCCAATAGCATCCTAGGTCTATTCGTCATTACTTCTACATTTGTGCTGGACTCTTTGCTCATTGTGGTTTCTTATGTGTTGATTCTTCACACTGTCCTAGAAATAGTTTCTGGAGCAGGGCGATGGAGAGCACTCAATACATGTGTATCACACATATGTGCTGTGCTTGTCTACTATGTGCCCATGATCAGCCTCTCCTTGATGCACCGCTTTGGACGGCATTTACCTCCGCTCCTCCAGACTCTCATGGCCAATGCTTACCTCTTCTTTCCACCTCTGGTCAATCCCATTGTCTATAGCATCAAAACTAAGGAAATACGCAATAGCGTTGTTCGTACCTTATGCAGGAAGAAGAGTGAGATCTAATAGAAATGGACAACACATTGAGAGCACAGGAATCTGGATCAGATTTTATTACCTGGATATAAACTTTGCAAATGTGAAAAATTTTATTATTATTGCTTGTTAATGAGCTTTAAGATATAGTATATAATGAAAAGAAAAATAGTTTTACACATTCCCTTGAGAATAGAGACTGTCATTATTTTGAAGTAAAATTGTAGCAGGAGGCATGGGACATGGTCTTTTTCCTAGTTCAGACCCTCTTTATCTGTTGAATCCTTGCATACCCAGTTCAGTGACATTTCATTCAGGGCTTAAGGAGAAAGGGTCCTGGGGAGGTTTGTGTTTCGGGATAGCAAATTCAAGTTAGTAATACATATTTGTGAGTGAATATAATCAAGAGACAAAATACAGTATATTGTATTATTACATGTATATAAAGGATTAGTACAAGTACAACTAATTTAATGTCAAAATTCAAAACAATGCTTATCTGTGATTCGTGTAAAGATGGAAGAATGACTGGGGAAAGATATGAGACAATTTCTGGTGAGATGGAAATACTTTATGTTGTGTTAGGATGTAGCATACATGATTATATTTATTTGTAAAAATGGTATAGCTAAGATTTGGGCGTTTCAGAGTATGCCAATTTTACCTATAAATTTCTGAATAAGACTGATAATAAGACAAAGAAAGATTGTAATAATATTAATAATGACAATTTTTAAATTGCATAGCTGTTGGAAGTATGGAAGATACGTAATGTCAATAATTGTTGAAACTGTGTTATGGGTACATAAGTGTTCATTATAATATTCTGTTTAGTTTGTATGGTTTAAAATTTTATAAGAAGAACTCTTTTTAAAAAATTACACACATTGTGCTGATACTAAATCTTAACATGTACCATGAAGCAAAGATAACTTTCAAATGGTCAGAAGGATAGGTCAGAAAGTGTTTGGCTTTTGAAAACCATTATATTTTGAATAAGCTAATGGCTAGGAAAAAAAAAACAGGTCTCTGAAAATACTATTTTAGAAGAAAATAATTTTTAAAAAACATAAAAAGAAAAGAAAAAGAAAGTTCCACCTCTGTAATAGCATTGGTTGACATAAAGCACTCAATAGTAGACACACCTCTATTCAACAGGATAGTATAAAGGGAAGGAAGAACCTGAGGTAATCCCTCAGCCAGGGCAAGAACTTAACTCATTTGTTTTTCTAGATAATTTTGACTGTCTATAACCATAGTGAGTATCCTCATAAACCACACAGTCTTGAATAATTAACAGATAATTAAGAAGAGTTTTATTCTCAGAACAAATGATAAGTGTATAAAGTAGTGAGCGGTGCCACACTTACATGCACATCTGTTTTTATCTAATTCACTTGATGTATAGACTTAAAAACATCTCATACCTGTAAAACACCTTTGAAAGTGTTCAATGTAGTGGGATTACAAAATTGGGTAAGCCTTGTAAATCAACAAATCTTCAAATGTTGGGGGTAATTCAGAAGCTCTTTCTTAACAGTAATTATTGGTAATCTTCATTACAACCATGTAAAGTAGATATTATTATTATTATATTTGTACAAATGAAGAAACTAATGGATAATTTATGTAAATTTACAATGTCACACAATGAAAAAGTTGAACATTCAAGAACAAGATCTACAATTTGATGTTGTACATTTGAATCAGATATACTTAAGTTCAAATCTTAGCTATCTTTGTATTAGTAACTGTGAAATCTTGCTAGTAATTTTTCCTGTTTGAATTTAACTTCCGTGTTTGTATAAAGATAATAAAATAAAGTCTAGCTTTAATAGTCTTGAAGATTAAATGACATGACGCATATAAACAATTAGCAAGTATAGTCCTAGTAAAATTTGCTCAATAATTTTATTTTATTAAGCCATTACTTTATCACCAAATCTTACTAAAATATGTCTGTCACATACCCAAATTTCATAATGTCTGATTACTATATCCTAATTTTAAGCTCAAAAATGTAAAAGTTAAAGTAATAAATTTCCTTGACAAAAGTATAGTGTTCCGTAATAAGTGATTTATGTAGGTGAGCTCATTTAATACACAGAACAAACGTACACAGTAATTATCAATATTTTCCACATGCGCTGCAGATGTAGAACAGAAGCATAAAGAAGTCAAAAATGCAGTATTGTCTCAACCTGGTTAAAATGACTTGTAGCAAAATTAAAGGCATTAACAGATGTTGACGAGGATGTGAAGAAAGAGGAAACTTCTTACACTGTTATGGAAATGTAAATTAGTATGGCCATTATGTGGTACTTTATGGAGGTTCCTCAAAAACTAAAAATAGAAATGCCATATAATTTATCAATTTCACTATGTGTATATATTCCAAAGGAAATGACATCATTATATCAACCAAATATCTGCACTGCCATATGTATTGCAACACTATTCACAATAGACAAAATATGGAATGTCGGGAGCCAGCCACGGAGGCCCACTGAGTGTTAGGGATCAGGAAGGGCCGTTGACCCCGAGACCACTAGGATGTGTTCGGGAGCTATTGACCCCATTTCCTCCCCCTTTTTACTCAGCATTAACCAGATTAAGCTCCTGTGAGCTCAAAACATACAAACTCTGAGACCGGGATGGACACAAGCTAACTTTAGAAGCTCATTGCTCCCATTCTTCCACAAACTGCAGTTTTGGCTTTCACACAACTTATAATTCAAACTCGTGTCACATCTAAGAGCCTTAGTATTGGTCACAGGCTTCTGGGTCATGATCTTAGGATTTACTGAAGGTGTAACTTGTAGAATACAGTTTTAGAAGACAGCCATTTTGTTGAAAGAATGCAGCTGGGTTACTTGCAGGTAGCCCACTGTGAACTTTGGACTGGGCCACATTCCAAACATTCTGGGATGGGCCACTTTCATTTGCAAAGTAAATACTTAAGCTTCTATAGAATTGTTTAACTTGGCATAAATCAATCAGTTTAGGATGAAAAAGGTTTATAGAATATGTCAGTCACGGATTAGGATATCCTTTGTTATGGGATTTTAAGATTATCATATGAAAAGGGTTTAAAGGCAATCATTGATTAAGTTTTCATGGATTAAGGTTTCTGATGGGTGGGGAACGCTCCTCCCACATCTGACTTTGTGTATAAAAGACCCGTTGTAATTCCCAATAACACACATCGCTTCTGCACTAGAACCGAGTCCAGTTTCTTTCTTTCTCTCTCTCTCTCTCTCTTTCTCTCTTCTTCCCCCCAATCGCCGATGTCGTCTCCACCTTTGGGGTACCCTGAACCCAGCTGGAGCAGGTCTCTGGCAATGGAATCAGCCTAAATCCCCATCAATGGATGAATTAATAAAGAAAATGTGGTATATAGACACTCTGGATTATTTAGTCATAGAATGCAATTCTGTCACTTGAAGCAACATAAAAGTAACTGAAGGCCATTATGTTAAGTGAGATATCCACGAATGTGTTCTCACTCATGGGTGGAAGCTAAATTACCTCTGTGAGGATAGAGTAAATTGGTGGTTAACAAAAGATGGGAAGAGGAGGGAAAGAGATGATGAAGGAAAAAAATACTGGATAATTATTTATTGCCATTGAACTGTACACATGAAAATGGTAAAGATGGTGAATTATATATGCATATTTTACCTTAATAAAGATAAATTCAGAAATATTCAGTAGACAAACCAAAAAATCAAGAAGGACAGAAACTGATTTTTGTGTAAAAGTATTTCCAAAATTTACATGTAAAGAAAAAAAATTACACACCTTTTAGTTAAATGAAGTAGTCAGTGACTATATTTCAAAATATATAAAGCATGAACTAAAATTTGGATAAGACAGGCTGATCCTACTCACTTGAAACCAAAGAAGAAAATGTGAGTTAAAAATATTGTTATAGGACTTGGTATACAACGATGATATCTAAATTATTTTGAGTAGATGGAATTATTAGCAAATTTGCTTTGTTTGAGAAAGTAAGGACCCAGGATGGAACTTTGGAGAGCCCCCAAATTTAAATAAAATTAGTGGAAGAGAAGAAGAGGAAGAAACCAAATGGTAAACTAGGCTAAATTGGTTGGTGGAGCCTTAAGAATGCACCTCTTAGCAACATACAAGGAAGTCTAAAAACCAAGTTAAAAATATCAAGGAGAAAAATTTCCTGTGCATAAGTCTTGCTTAGCATTTACTAGACAATCTTATAATAAATGAAGTTCTAAGCCATATTCTCATATTACTCTTAAGTTAAAGGTATGTGTTATTTCTTTTTTTTCCTTCAATTCAGCACACAAGACATATTCTCTCATACATAGTAGGCATATAGCGACTATTTTTTGAAAGGAGAAGAAAGGTAGCAAGAAAGAAAAAGAGAAAGGGAGAGGTGGATAAAAGTTTAGTCAAATATTCAACAACTTATTAAAAGCTTCACATTTTAGGATTTAGAAATGCCCATAATAATTTTTAATTCTGAGACAGTTCATGAATATACCAAAAAAATAAAAAATAAAAAAACAGCTTCAATAAAATAAAAATGAAAGGAATGAGGATAAAGAATTCTGGTAGGTAAATGTATAACAAAATAATAGTTATGGATACAGATTTTTCTTTCTTGAAAGAAAAAGATTTGGCTCAGTGAAAGTGTCACAGAGATATTTATTTAAATATAATGAAATTGGCATAGAAGCATAACTACATTTGACAGTTTCTCTCGCCCATGCCACCAACTCTGGCATGTCTCTCTTTCTTTCTTTTCTCTCTTCTTTTGCTAATGGACTTTGTTTGAAAACTTAAAAAAGAAAAATGAACATATCTACATTTAAGTGGACTTTAGATTTTTGCAAATAGGAACAGTAGAATAAAAAACAACCTACAAGCAATTTACTTATGCAGTCAATCTTCATATGTACCCCACAACTGTAAAATAAAAATATGAATGAAACATTTAACAAAGAAAAAAGCACAACTTGTAAAAAGAAAACTTGCATATGTAAAATTTT